AGAGTAGGAGGCTAATGTCTTTGTTTTCTCTTTGGCAGGAATGGCATGATTCTTGCAAATGATAAAATTAATTAATAGCATTGAGATAAAATCTAATTATTTGTACTCTTACTTTTAGAAAATAGCAATTCACAATGGACTTTCTGATGTCTTATAGAGGTACTTTGTTTTCTGAGATAAGGGTATTTGAGAAGGTGCAGTGTCAGCATCCTTGCTTTTGTAACATTAGGCAAGAACAGAGTTGACCAGAACTGTGCTTGGAATAATGCAAGTATCACTAAAGGATTTCCTGATAATAGAACCAAATTCAAAGCTGGCTCAAAATAAACACTGTATTCATGGTTGCAGATTAAAGGATAAACTTCTAAGGATCTATCCTGGTACTTGAGGGCACTTGGGTAGAATCATTCAATCTATAAAGCACAAAACAAATGAATAGGCAGAAAAGAAGAAAATTCTAACACTGTATTCACATTGAAGCTCTTTAAATCAGCATTTCAGGATTTTAAGGAAAAGAAACTTGTTCATTTTATCACTTATGGAAGAGATATTGTAAGGACTGAGTAATAGTGGTTGACTTTAAGGTGGCTTAGGGGAGAATAAGTGAATTTAGCCGAATGGAAAAATAAAGTTATTGCTTTGTTTTGCCTCTAAAAGAGTGAGAAACACATACAAAATTTGGGAGAGAGACCAGCGTATGTATCTGTTGGTCTACTCACTCCCCAAATGACCAAAACAGCTGGAAGTAGACACAACAGAAGCCAAGGCCTAGGAATTTCATGTAGCTGACTACGACAGTGGCGGAAAGCCAAGGATTGGAGCCGTCATCCCCCATTTTGCAGGCAGAAAGCAGAAATGTGGTTCAGATGTGGAGTAGTCAGGTCTTCCTGGGGCATAATAATATGGGATGTGGCACTCCAAGAGGAGTGTTAGTTTGTTAAGGCACAATACCTACCACACCTTAAAAAAAAGTTCTTTTTGTATAATAATGATACTAATGGAATAGAAAAGGATACACATTGCAAGCATATGGTACTGTGATTTGAGTTATCTTGAATGACATCGAATTTCAAATTTGCATAACCAGGATATTGCTAAAGTAAAATGGAGATGGATCTTTTTTGTATTTACATATTCAAGGCTTTGAACATTATGTATTACTTGGAACAACGGAAAGTAACATAAAATGGCTTTCCTTCAAAGAGATTATGCTGTAGTATGAAAAGATCGTGTGTTACAGATGCATAAGCAGGATTAAGACAGATAGAATAATTCCGACAACCAAAGAACTAGGAAATCTGGGAGTATGGGAGTGGGGGAGATTCATTCCGAATAAGTGGATTATGGAAAAATTCAAACAGTAAGTGACATGTGAGTTAACTTCATAAAATTTGAGTTGGAGAAGTGGTCATATCAAATATAAATATTGAATTTCAGGGTGCTTGGTTTGAGTCCTGTCTCATTGTCGACCCTGAGAGTCAGTGGTGATGGCTCAAAGGACAGCATCTTTCTATCCACCTGGAAAAGCTAGACTGCTTTCCCATGTTCTAGGTCTGTGTTGATCCAGGCCTGGTCCCCAAAGACATCGAAGAAGTGAAATGGGAACTGTCCTATCAGTTTTTCTCTGTCAAATGAAAAAAAACACTTTGGCTGCATTTTGATAGAAAAAAAAGTTATTTGCTTTAAAATTAAAATTGGTATTTTAAAAAGTTCCCAGATTTTAAGAACCTCTGTTGAGGCTTCCAAAGGCAGCAAAAAGGCAGAGCAAGTGTTGAATTCCTCATTCTCCCCATAGAGCAACCTCAGGTTAGAGAGTGAAGTTAGCATCACGTGACTTGTCACAACCTCACGTAATCCATGAGCAGGGCCCAGATGCTGGAGAGAAGGCACAGGTTCATAAAATTGTGAGACTTGTTTGAGACATGATAATTTATCTGGCTTGAAACCATGAAAATATTGGTGAGCTTAAAGTAGGTGAGAAAAATTTATTTCGGTTAGATTTTCACCTTCCTCCCTAAATTGCCTTGTTTTCTGTGATAAAAATAAATGATAAGGCAAGGTAGTTTGAATGAGGTAGGAAAGTGTCTGGTCTTGGAGTTATGTGAATGAACTCAGGAAAAAATAGAGTGAACTGTTGTAGTGCCTGGTTGAAGTTCAGCTCTTCCCCAGCTTTGCTGCTAATATGTACGCTAACGACCCTAGATGATGGTCCAACTGCAGTATTTGACTATCAGTCATCGGGAGAGTGAACTAGTGTATAGGAACTATTTTTTAATCTCTGTCAAATAAATAAGTAAATCTATCCTTTCATAGATTTCTCAGTGAAAAAGTATCCAAAGAGCTTCACCAATATGTGAAAGTGTAGAAATTCCACCAATAACTTGGCAAAAGTGTATTTAATATGAAACGAATATTATTTGTTATTATTATTTTCATTTTATTTAAGGGAAATTGAGACAGTATGGACTGCATTAAGTTTCCTCTACTCTCCCTTATTAAGTAGTGAAAACAAAGGCATAAATTAGATTGCTATATTATTTATGATGAGCTTGTTGTGAAAAGATCAGTCATATTGGTCAAATTATATAAGCAATTCTTTTTTTACTCATGAAAGAGTTTTTTGTTTATCAAGTTTGCTATTTAAAACAGAATGTAAAAAGCATTATATAGTAGCAAACTCATACAAGCCTAGATTTAAAAAAGATTAGTCCCTTAGAATTATTCTATCTAGGGACTGTGTAACATATGATTACACAGATTGCAAATTTGATCTAAATTTATTGACTTTAATCAGCTAAAAATATCTATCGTTGCTATGACTCATTTATAGCCCACAAGACAAATGTGTTCAATACAAGCTTTAATTTATGTTACATGAAGCAATGGTTATGGTAATCAGCGACTGGAATGAAATGTATATTGCTAAACTTGAATTAGCCCTCCTTTTACATGGCTGGTTGAGCTTCTGTATGGATATTTTAAATGTCTGCTCACTGTGGAAAACATGTGAAATTATAGTACGCTTTCCATGCTATGCCTGTATTTTTTTTATATTACAAATTCAGTGAAATTCATTTCAAATAAGACAATAGTTGTCATTGTAAAGTCTTTTAATATCTTTCTAAGATATATATATCATATTTCCAAGTCTATAATATACACAAAAGCATATATAAAATATATAGATATAAATCAATATATAAAGAGAAAGAAAGAAAGAAAGAAAGAAAGAAAGAAAGAAAGAAAGAAAGAAAGAAAGAAAGAAAGAAAGAAAGGAAGGAAGGAAGAAAGGAAGAAAGAAAGAAATAAAGGAAGGAAGGAAGGAAGGAAGGAAGGAAGAAAGAAAGAAAGAAAGAAAGAAAGAAAGAAAGAAAGAAAGAAAGAAAGAAAGAAACGAAGAAACAAAGAAACAAAGAAGGAAAAAGAGAGAAACAAGGAAATGGGAACAAATTCTTTTAAAATTATGAATAATCAGAATGCAGAGTTCCTGGAGTGCCAGTTTTTCCATTTCCCTGGTTCTGAAACAAGAACTACTCTTCTAAGTGAGTTATAGAATCCTGAAAGTGGCAAAGCCTACATTCTGCTCTGAAGGTTTTTCCTTTGTGGATTGGGAGAAACAAATGTTCTCTAAGCACTGAAACTCCAAGGAGGCAGGAAAGGTGTGCATTTGGACGAAATATGTACATTTCTAATATTTTCTTGCCCCTTTGCATACTCTACTGCAGGTATTTTCAATTGTTTTATAATTGGCTAGGATTTAAACATGATGTGTGCATTTTCCAAAGTGTATTGTGTTGCAAAACACAGCAATGTCCAAACCTACAGTAATTGTCCAAGTTTCATTCATTTTGCAGCTTTATCTATTCACATTGATTAAGTTTGCAGCTAAACATTACAAAGCTTGAGGCAGAATAGACAGCACTAACTAGTAAGGAGTAGACTGCAAATCTGTAGTCTTTTTCAGGATTTCATGATTTAATTCTGTAACAACAAAAACAACACTAACAACAAAATAAAAGTTAAAGGCATAGCGAGAGTAAGTTCTACATTTTAAGGAAAATTTAATGTTACTGAAAGTCATGACTTTCTCATAATTAAGAACATAAGTACACATGGGACAGGACTTATGCACCGCTTGTCCCAAAGTATTTTTAATAGGATGAATAAGCTGGCCTGGTGCAAAAACCTAGTGGCTAAAGTCCCCATCTTGCACATGCAGGGATCCCATATGGGTGATGGTTCCATTTGTATCCTGATTGCTCCACTTTCCATCCTATTCCCCGTTTTTGACCTGGGAAGCAGTAGAGGATGGCTCAAAACCTTGGCACCCAACCACTATGTGGGTGACCCAGAAGAAGCTCCTGGTTCCTGGCTTTGGAAGGCTCAGCACTGGCCATTGCAGCCGCTTGGGGAGGTAATCGGCAGATGACAGATCTTTCTCTCTGTCTCTCCTTCTCTTTGTAAATCTATAAGAATAAAAATAACTTTTCTTTAAAAAAGAAGAATATGGATAATCTAAGGCAAATTGAATATCAGCTAACAAGGTACAACACATCAGATAATTTTGGTTAGTTTTTTAAGAAGATGCTTAATATTCATTTATCTGTATTTGTGGTCTATCCATTATGAAAATGTGCATTGGAAAACATCAAGAGAAAATTGTCAAATTAGCGGAGAAGCTATGCATAATTTTATGATCAACAGGGAAAAGAACTTTTAGAATATTTCTTAGGTTATGTTTATCTTTCATGCACATGTTTTTCCTTTTGGTGATTGTCCATAGTTATCTAAGTGTAAGGATGCCTCTTACTAATTAAAAATTAAATGACGTCTGAGGACTATTTCTAGTGTTCCCTTTAAAACAGATATATACAAAGTAAGTATGAAGAAGGGGTGGATAATTAAATTCTTCAATCAGATGTTTTCATCAGATACTACCATAAATTGAAAACAGAGAAATAGTATAAAGTTTGATTTGCTTTGCTTGGATTTATCTGCAGGCAGAATGCCTTTCAAGTTACTGCAGTGGATGGAGTCTGCAGTGGAATTATCCAGTGCCTCTCTACAGAAGATTGTATTGACTGGCTACAAGCAATAGCAACTAATATTTCAAACCTCACAAAGCACAATGTAAGTTAAAAACAAGAAGAATTCCTCACTGGAAATCTGTTCAGCTTTTGTATACTTTCTAAAAGTTTTTGATACCTACATGTAATTATGTAATTATGCATCACACTCCTGATATTCATAGAAAGAGACAGTTCACATACAACATAAAATCTCTTCTGGAAGATTTGCTGGAAAAAAAATCATAATATCCTGAAAGTCTTAGCACATGAGTACAAACTATATTTAAGTAGAAGCATTCTAGATATCAAGAGAGCATTGTTGATATCTTTTGTGATCTGAGAATCACAGGAATGTTGAATGAGTGGAAGGCTATGCCAAATGCATCTGTCAGAGTGAGTAAGGGGCTCCTATGAAACTTTAGTGCCTTAGGGATGATCACAGGAAGACATTGAATCATCAGGTAATTGGTGCAGAACAGTCCATATCATCAGTAATGTTGTGTCTACAATGTCTCCATCTTTCTACTCCAACATTTTCTTCTTTTTCTGTTCCTGTCCCCATTATCATCACATTCTTTTTTCATATCTTCCAATAACCTAATCAATAATTTTTCCATGTTAATTATGTAACACCTACAACCATAATGTATGAGAGCCCTTAACAAGGAGTAGTGAAGCAGGTATGATTTAAAAATATTCTATTTTGGAAAAAAAATATATATTTGCTACCAATGTTTTAGTTTCTTTTTAAGATTTATTTATTTTTATTGCAAAGTCAGAAACACAGATAGGAGGAGGGACAGAGAGGTAGATATTCCTTCCAATGATTTACTCCCCAAGTGGCCACAGTAGTCAGAGCTGAGCAGATTCAAAGCCAGGAGCGAGGAATCTTTTCCAGGTCTCCAATGTGGGTGCAGGGTCCCAGGGCTTTGGGGTGTCCTCCACTGCCTTCCCAGGCCACAAGCAGAGAGCTAATTGGGAAGTGGAGCTGTGGGACTAGCCGGGTTCCTGGTGCATTCAAAGTGAAGACCACAGCCACTAAGGGCCCATTGCTTTATTAGTTTCTATATGCATTTATTTGTATTTCCAAAAATTTCACATGGAGAGAAAGAGAGACAGAGAGAGAGAGAGAGAGAGAATGAATGAGAGAGGATATGAGAGAAAGAGAGAAACTTCAATTACTATTTGCTGGTTTGTTTGCAATGGGTCACAATGACTAGGGCTGGGCCAAAGGAGAATGGATCTTCTTCTAGATCTCCCCCATGGGTCCTGAGAGGAAGAGCTTCTGCTTTTTCCCCAAGTTCCATAAGCAGAGAGTTGGATAAGAAGTAGAGCAGGTTGTGAACCTGATGGTCTTTTGGAATACCAGCTGCGGAGGTTGCAGCATAATTCACTGCACCACAATGCAGGGCCATATGTGCCTTAGTCCTGATTCTTTCCTGTACCTGTTCCACCTATTCCATGCCATGCTAGCACCTTATGAAGTCCTATGGGAAATTCATAAACCTATTAAGTAACTATGAAACTATCTCATCAGCTCATCAACTTCCAAAGTTGCTGTTATATTTAAAAAAAAAAAAACAAAAAACTATATCCAGGTATGTTTGCTGATATTTTCTTTTGAAATCTAAGAAACAATTATAGCAAATATGCTTCTCTGAAACACAGAAAGTTCACACACCTTTATGGAACAATGTCTTACTTACAATTTTTGCCTTTTTCAGTAACTTTTTCAGTAACTCCATTGCAGTTTCCATGCATAAAATCATGAGTGTTCTGGTACTGGTTTTGAATTCCATAGGATATGTACATTAATGACAACATTAGAAACTGCCAACTGCACCCCAAATAACAGTGCCAACTGTTTTCTAACTCAGCTGTTGATATATCTCATTTTATTAATCATCCTCAACACTTGATGTTTCTTATCATTGAAATTTTGATATTTGATGTGTATGAAATTGCCTCTTGTTATGTGTTGAAGAGAGACAAAATGTGTATGTGTATGTGGCAGAGGGGAGGGGTGCACCTGATAATTGATAATCCTTATCGAAGGACTCATGTCCCTAGCTTGCCTGGCTTGCACTTAAGTGACTCCCTTAACCCTCAGCACTGATGTGGTTAATCTGCATTTGTCATCATCTGAGACTGAAACTGTAGAGAACTCTAGATTTCAGTTAGCCAGAGAAACACAAAACAGCACAACAACAGCAGTGAGTGGAAATGCTATTTCCCTGAGCCTCATGCCTCTGGCCTTGATTTCAAAAGGTATTTCTAGAGTTAGATCCAAAGGCAAAAAAGATCTTATGAGACTGTTGGCTCTCAATTTCATTATAGCTATAACCAGAATGACCTCACAATGAGCCATAGACTGATTTATTTTTTAAAAATTAAGTGGACACAAATTTAAGCTCTAAATGCATAATTGTTTTCCTTCTCCAAGACACAAATTTGCATTTTTTTAAATCCAAGTACATTATTATTCTTTGTACTATATACCTAATAGGAAGACTCTGATGTGGCTGGAAAGCTTTTGGAAAGTCACTGTTACAGTTTACACACACACACACACACACACACACACACACACACACACACACGAAAGATGGCAGTGTCTCTACCCCATGCACCAAAGAAGAGCATCTGGCTGCCTCGTTTTTGTCGTTTTCAGAACCAGTCACTGTGATGTTTAAGATAGCAGGCCATTCTTCTCTTTTTTACTGAGAGATATTCCACATATGTTATGACAATGTTACAGTGATATATTATAATAATGTATCACTGAATTAAAAAGTATTTATTTGTTCCATCCTCTTCCTTTGATTATACTGTAATTGTGGTTTTTTTCCTTCTAAGAGTTCATTCATAAATACTGATGCTGCAGTATACTTGATACAAAATGGACAACATAAATATTGGAATGTTATTAGCTATGACAGAAATTATGGAAAATACATTGACTTTAGAAAAAATGACAATGACACATTGATGGATGCAATTATATGGCTTAAAAATATGAGGAAAAGTGGTAAAGTAGATTAAGAGTAGCTAGAAAATTTGTTTAACATCATCATATGTTAAATTTTCCAATGTTGATTCCAAAGACATACTTGGAAGAATGCCTTGTAGAAAGATATGTGACATTTTCTTTATTTGTCATGTAATATGGCATTGGCTTGTATAACCCTGATTTAAATAATTTATTTGTACCAAGCAAATGCGGAAAGAAAAACACTGACATAAAACTCTGAATAAATTCCATTCAAATGATCACCATGCCTTAAAAACTATTTTGAATGAAACAATCATAGGAAATGCAGATGAGTTCAAAATTTCAAAATAATGTAATTAAAATGATATAAAATATACTTTTAAGTGTTTATATATAGATATGAATACTTAGAAGGAAACATGCTGAAACTATAATACTGCTGAAATTTTGGAGTAATGCATTGTAGTTCAAAGCCATTTGCAAAATATGTAGAGAAAGATGTAGAACAAATGTAATCTGCTAGAATCATTGAAACAATGTGTCTGCTCACTAAAAGTAGTAGCATTTTTGTTAAACAAGGGAGTTCAGTTACCAGATCTCTATAGAAATGCCATGTAATTAGTCTTACCTAATTTCTTCATCTAGACAGTCATTGGTTATAAAAGTAAAAAAATTTTGGCTAGATGCTGAAAATTTATAGCTGTAATTTCATCATTCATGGTGACCCCAATATATTTACAATGCATTTTTGAAGTGTTATATATTAGAACATATTGCCTCAGGGACTTGTGTTAACAGTGTACTTATTCAGATACCAATTTTCTTTACCTAAGTTGTGTGGCTTCCCTGAAAGGCATGAATGGGCAGAAGCTGCAGTGATATGTGAACTGGGATCCAATCAATTCACTCAGACAAGCCCCATGTCACTTGTTAATATTTTATTTAAAACATAGCTGAAAATATTCTTTTATGAGCAATTTTGACTTTGTTTCATCAGATTTTAAAACCAAGGGAATGTAATAGGCAAAAATGATGAATCCCAAATCTGGAAATATGCTATGTCATATTCTATATACTTTAGGTTGTGAATGTAACTGATATTCTTAGTTAACTTTTAAATTTTGGGATTTTCCTGGTTCATTCAAGTGACACCAATGGAATCATTGGTGTTTTTTTTCTTTTTTAATAGACAAAGTGAGAGGACGGAGATAGTGAAGAGCAAAGACAAGGCCACATATTTTGGGGTTTCTAGGTTAGAGTAAAAGCCTTGAGCTACAGAGAGCAAGAGGCCAGTAACAGTGAAAGAGCTGTTTCCACTCTAGAAACTGCAGAAAGAAATACAGCTTTGTAGTATTGAGACTTTTATTACTATATAGTTCACATAGGAGTGCTAGCTTACAGAAGTGAGAAATGGCAAATACATGTGGTAATTTTAAACCAGTAAATTTATAAATATTTATAGCAGCAACAGAAAATCCTGCAATGCTTTATGTTCATATTAATTCATTTGACTTTTCTTTACCTAAATACAAATGTGACAGGTTTACCTGAAAATAATACCTTTATTCTTGTCATGCTTTGAATTCTCAGAATTGCATTTGTTAGAAAACATCAAACATTTGCATTAGAAATTATTCTTGATGGAAATTAGCCTATATCATAGTTTATAGATATAGTTTTTAGAATATGTTTCTTTTTAATTTTTATAAGTGATTTACCTCCCACAAGGATCGTTTTCCCAGATAAATAACAAAATCATAAACTCAAGATATCCAAAATATATTTTGTTAATAAAACAGGTAAAAACTGATATATCAATCTTGCTATAGAACTGCAGATGAAGCTGAAAAACAAGGCCTAGTTTTAAGACAAAACACAGCAAATGTAAGGTTCTGAGTCTACCGTCTGATGAACTAAGATTGTCACATCGTCCTCTCCCTGTAGAATACAAGGCTTGACAGAATTCAGAAAGTACCTATGAGTGCTTACAATGGGGCTAGGAGAAGAGCTGAAAAAGAATTTACAGATCTTTATAAATAACTATTTGATGCACAAGAAGACATGTCATA